CTTATTTTGCAAAGGATCAATTTAAAGTGGTAGTTACAATAATACAAAATGAAATAATTTATTAAAAGAAAAGTTGCTGCATGGAATAGGGACAAAATCTATTTTTAATGAAAGAGTCTTTGATCTGCTCCTCCTAGAATTTCAGTGGGCCTCACAAAGGGAAAGCTAATCTTAATATATATGCAGCTGTCCCTTCCAGGCCCTAAAATCCTGACTGAATGCATTACATACAAATATTTAACTTGCATTAACCTGGACTTTAGTGCTTCAGATGTTAATTGGAATCATGTACAAGGGCTTGCATTTTCCAAAATGGTGTTAAATTTAATTTTCTTAACTCTGTTCTGTGTTTAATAATTAAACTGCCTCCTAAACTATTAGCTATCTCATTTGTGCTTTGGAGGCTAAACCGAGCATGACATTAGCTCTGTTTTGTGCACTAGGTTGTAGAAATGAAGTTAATAGAGTAGGTTAATTCACTGCTTTTGCCATCCATTGCTCTCTTCAGAAGCTAAAGGAAAACAACTAGCCCATGTAGTTTTAAACACACTTAGCAGCCAGCTTGAAATTACTGTAAGTAGTTCAAGACAAAAAGTCTCCCGTTTGCAGTTATATCCCTTACATTCAAATCAAATGAAGTCAGTGTATTCAGCTGTGACAAGTTTAGAAATGGAGTTTAGCGAGTTACATTACTGCTATTAATTATATAAAACAATAAAGCTGTGCTTTAAAAAAAAACTAGCTGTTCTTCTAATTAATCTTTATTTTGACTTCCGCTGTTCTTCCTTCCCTCCCATCCTCCAAAATCAGAGTTTTTGTGGAAGTTTTAAGCAAGTAATAATCATCATCATATTTGTCAATATCTCTGCCCCTGCAAAATCTGAGTAAGAAAAATGTTGTGAAAATATACAAGATGTTGAAAGTAACATTTTGCTCTGTGTTATAATCTGGCAACTTTCCATCATCTGAACAAGTCTGGGCCTCATAACTTGTGTTTCAGATGACTGAGCAATGAGAATGTATGTTTTAGTCACTTTCCATATATTAACATAAACAAAAAGAATTAAAATAAGTCAATCCTGTTTTGAGAACAGCACGCAAAACTAATGTTTCAGTCTCTCTAAAACCGTGGTGTCCAACATACTAACCACTAGCCACATGTGGCTATTTGGCTCGTGTGAGTGTGGCTAGTTTGCTATAGCAGTAGGAACTATAGTGGCTAATTCTTCAGAATTGGTTGGACACCATGGCTCTAACCATTTAAGTATCATTAGCACTTCTCTTTAAAGGTAGAAAGAGCAAATGAACACAGGTTCAATTGAATTTAACAAACAATGAGCATATATTATTTGAAATGAGACAGACTGACATTTGTAATAGGACTGTCAGCAAAAACAATTTAGAATTCATAATTCACAGATGATTCTACAGAGAAAGCAAACGTGGCTTGTCAGGTTTGGCACTCAACTATGTGCTCCAGAGAATACCCTTAATATGGCTCATCAATCAGCAACTTTTTCTGTCCTTATAGGTGCCCTGACTTGACAATGCCACATGCAGGTTGACAAGGCAATCCCAAAAATTAGTAAGAGTAACTTTAGTAACAGTTTTCCAAATGTGATAATGTTCTTTGGTCCACACACATACTCTTAGCCATCTTTGTTCTGGGAACAGAAGTATAGAGAGCAATGTGAACAAACTACCCTCAACTGCCTTGGTCTTAGAGTGTTTGTAGTCCCCACTTCTAGATTGCTCTACGAATAGCTTCTTTGTGTTGTTTTAAGTGTAGCTCTACTTTTATTTTTGTCTTGATTTAAAATGTCTGTTTTACTTTTATTTTATTTCCAATGCTCCCATACCCCATTCTTCCTCACAAGTGTTAATTAGCAAGAATAAACTCATGGATTCAAACACTGCCAAGAATCTGTCCTGGTCAGTGATGGTTTCTTATAGCTCATGTTTGGGAGACATGCACGTCCCAACTAAATACAATACCTGTTGGGTGTTCAAGTACAAACTGGAAGATTACACTTCGGTTTGCAAATCTGTAGAGAGATGTACATTGCCCTGACCAAATTCTTGCATTCAAACTTTAACTAATGCAGTGAGATTGACAGGAAAAGTTGCAATTTATGGTGGTTGTGTGATGTCACATGCTAGGAACTGGACTGACACCATCACTTAAATTTCATTTAAGCCATTGAGCCAACATAAGGTAACAGCTTCTGAGCACAACCTATTCAGACAATTGACTTGCAGGTAAAAAGCTGTGTATGCCAGTGCAAACCCTCTAAAACTGGTTGAAATTTTTTTTATTAAAAAAAGATAAATTTTCACAAAAAATTGACCTGTTTTTTCTAACTAATTTTAAATTCCTCTAAGCTTGGACCACATCTTAGGAATATATTTCATGGAACACCTCCTCTCCTCTTTATATGGGTCACTTCCTTCAATTTGCTGTTTTGCCACTGTCCTTTAGGTACCTACAGCAAATTCATAAATAACAGAGTTATGTAAATATTAAGATATTTTAACTATCTGTTGCACTAAGTCATGCTTTTGGGGTGCAGGTGAAGGGGTGAGATAATAATTAGAAAGATCTATCACAGTGACTTCTGATTTGTCTTTGTATGGCTATCTGCTCCGGGTACAAAAGGGAGAACCTATATCTTGCCTAAAAGTCAGCTAAAAGCTTCTCCACATTTTCACCTGCTTTAAAATAAAAATCAAAGCCATGGATGACTGTAGAAACTGTTAGACTCAAGGTCCTAGCTCTCTGAACCACAGTTTGAGAACCTCTGTTCTAAATTATTCTATATTTCAGGTTGCCATTGGACTCTCATACACACTAATAATAATAACTAATAATAAATTATACTAATTGATTATTTAGTTTTCAGAAGATGAAATGGCAAATTCATCACACTTTGTTTTCAAATGTAAGTTAAATATTAAAAATAGAGCCTTAGCAAAATAATGTAAACAATATTTTGAAGTAATTATTCATTTAATTTCTAAACTTATATTTCACTGTGGATCAGATTTTGCTAGCCTTACATTCAGTAGTACTCTACTCTCTAAGCAGTTTTCTTGATGTCAGTGAGATTACATGTTGAACCTCTCTAGTCCAGCACCCTCGGGACATGACCGGTTTCCAACCAGAGAATTTTCCGGATCACAGGAGATCAACATTGTCTAGCAGCCTTCCACTTCTTACTGGGCTATTAGAAGATATTTAGGTGTCAGTTAGAGCTAAATCACAGCACAGACCACTGAGACACAGAACTGGTGGCTGTAAACAAACTTTATGGGACCATGGGAAACTTGGCTACACCCATGAAAAGTGAACATCTGGCTAACTAAAATTGTGCCAGACAATGGATGTTTCTGGACCAGAGAGCGCTGGACTAGAGAAGTTCAACTTGTACTTACAGCATAAGATGATGTAAGTAAACCTTCAGAAACTGGCCTCTAGTGCTAAAAGCTTGAAGTACAGCACCTACTGAAGGTAAGCTTAAACACATTTTACTTTTTAAAGCATTTCAAATAGTTTGTTGACAAGGTGCTGATAGCATCCATGACCAGCGGCTGCGAGATTTAATGCATGCTAACCTAAAAACTGTTTTCATTTTGATTGCTAACAAACTTATTTGACATAAAAATCTTTTGTTCAGTATATGGCCATTTCTAAAAAGCAAGATTTCCAGAGATGTCAACCAATCTGTCAACTTTATTTTTGTCTTTAAATCTCTGTTAAAAGTGCTGACTAAGTGGGATAAAATAAAAGATTTACTGCTTGTCTTCTGCAGCCTTTTCAGTGTACATGTAAGCAGGGGAATGGTCCCGCTATTTTGAGGAGCTTTCCTGGCTTCTATACTACCCCGGTAAAATGGACCAGCGAAAGGATCTGAGTCTCCGCTCCCATTTTTTCTGGGGCTTAATCCCCGACCTTGTAGGGTGTCCACACTCACGGGTGCGCTCTTCACACTGCATGCTTTCTTGACCCAGTGATCATTACATACAGATCAAAGCAAATACAATTTATTAAACAGCAACTGATTAAAAAGAAAAGAATAAGGAAAAATGAGAACAGTTAAATGAGAACACACAGTCCTGCTCTGTAACACGGGGACATCACAAACAGCAGTCTGCAGAGTGTAAGGACAGTTCACAGTCTGTTCCTTATAGGTCCCAGGGCTCTCTCTCAGGGCCTGGCTGTGTTGCAGGGGGGCTGCAGGTTGGACATGCTTGCTTTGGCAGTGACCACGCAATTTCAGGCTCTAGGTGGCAGGACCCCTCTCCCAGTTGGAGTTACAGTCCCTCTCCAGGTCTGGACTGCAGGACCTCTTGGCTGGTGGTGTCTCCCTGCCCAGAGCCTCTTCCCCTACTATGCTGGTCACAGCTGCTCACCACACCCAGCTGCAGTCTCTGTTCCTTTACCAGCCTCCAGCTCCTTGTGTTCCTTTTCTGACACCTTTGACACTCTGGTCACTACAGGTCTGCTTCTTAGCACAGGGTCTGTACTCTATGGGCTGAATGGGCCTCTGGCTCTGACACTGTAGGTCTGTCTCTCAACACAGCTTGCTCTACTTGCTGATCTTCTTAGCTCTCTCTCCTTTTCTCAGAGAGACTCAGAAAATCCCAGCTCACACGGAGGACGGGACCTGGTCTCCTAATTTCCTCATTGGCCTGTCCAACCTGTCTGTCAGGCTGAGCTGGAGTGTTGGCCGCTTTCTATTGTCTTGGGGGCCTGTCAGTCTCAGAGCCCTGATTTCTCATGGACCCTTCCCCTTTTGGTATTGGGAGCTGGCCAACCAAAAACTCCCTCTGAGTTCCAGTAAGGGGCTAATAGTCCCCTTACATACAGATCAAAGACAGGAGGAGCATCCTGAAAAAGGAATTGGTGTCTAATGTATAGTAGATCAATGAACAAGACTTTATTTATTTTAACTATACCACATGTTCGAAAAGGGACTTACCTTTTCCTCTCTTTCTTTCAGATGACATGTTCGACCTTCCATTCCCAGATGATATGGACAATGACATTGGAATATTAATCACAGGGAATCTCCACTCTTCTCCAAATTCTTCTCCAGTTCCTTCTCCTGGCTCCCCTTCTGGGATTGGTGTGGGATCTCACTTTCAGCATAGCAGGGTAAGGGTTTGTAATGTTCAAGACACATGCACATTAAGTAATTCTCCAACAAAGCTTTTTCTGTTCTAAAATTTAACCAGCTAACTGCAGACAGGAGTTAATAGAGGAAGAAGCCTTGAAGTTAACAGTAAAATTGAAGATGCTAGCTTGATACTATTCCAGAAGATGAAAGGTGCTCTAGGTACACCTTTATTTATATCACCCACTCCAAAGTCAGTGATAGCTAATCGTTATTGTCAAATTTGATTTGGATGGGAGCTTTTATTTCTAGTTCTAGAACCATATTCTGCATCTCTGAATGAATATCCATCTGTGTATTTATGAAAATCAAAGATTGCAACGATTTTGCACAGTGCATAGGGTTAGAAGGGATTACAAGAGTCATCCAGTCTAACCCTCTCACAAGATGGAGCATTTACTGTGTCTAAACCATCCAAGGCATGGCTGTTCAGCCTCCCTTTGGAAACCTCCAAAGACGGATCTTTTACAGCCTCCTTGAGCAACCTGTTCAATTGCCCATTGTTCTTACAGGGAGGAAGTTTTTTCTAAGATTTAATCTAAATCTTCAAGGCCATAGTTTGAACCCATTGCTTCTTGTCCTGCCCTCTGTGGTAAAGAGAAAACAAGTCCCAGCTTCTAGTATCAAAGAGTAGGATTTAAGAAAATGGTTTTAGATATGGGCCTACATTGAAGTCTTCATAAATAATTTTCCAGAAAAGGAGTTAGTGTTTAAGTGGACTTTTTTTTTTTTCATGCTAAAACCAAGTCTTGGAACATCAGCTCAGCAGGTGCTGGAGTTTTATGCAAAATTTTGTGCTCTCTGGAAAAAAAATTAGCCCTGAGTGTATGCTCTTTTTAAATTAATTCTGTTTAAAGTGGTTTTGAGAAGCTGGTTCCAGCACCAATGGTTATTTAAAATGCTAATTTTATTAATTTGAGAGAGAATTGTTGAGTAAAATTTAGCATAATTTTGAAGCAAATTTGGCAGGACTATCTTACACATACACATTCTCTCAGTTGTGTAAGAGATTTCATGTTGCTTTTATTTATTCCCATCATCATCCTTTCCATGACAATCATGCAGAAACTGACGGCACTGCATTTATAATGTGGCAGCAGGGAAGCTTTCATTAAGGAAGTGTTGAAGTTGAAACTGAAATTTACAGGAATATGCTTAACAACAATTACTAAAAAAAAATCAGAGATTGAACTTTATTTTATCTATAAATAAATCTAAGATAATGTGGATGAATTTGTTGCTGCTTTGTAATCCACTATATACATATATTTTATAACTAGCAAAAACAGCAAAATATCTTGTGGCACCTTAAAGACTAAGGGTATGTCTACACATCAAAATTATTTTGAAATAACAGCCTTTATTTCTAAATAACTTTATTTCTAAATAACTTTACTACACAGCCAAATCACTATTTTGAAATTAATTTGAAATAGCGGAGGGCCTATTTTGAAATTTGTAAACCTCATTCCACGAGGAATAATGCCAAATTTAAAATAGCTATTTTGAAATAAGTTCTATGTAGACACTTATATCGAAATAGGGGGCCTCCAGCCTTCCCAGGGTGCCCTGGTGGCCACTCCAGCCTCAACGCTTTAGATACAAAGTAGTCACGCCTTTTTACATCCTAAAGTATCTTTGCAGCTTGTTGGTGTGTCTAGTAGGTCTGGTTAAAACCGACGTTCTCTCTTAAATGCCAAAACTTACTTGGCTTCTTCTGTCCTTGCAAGATGGAGATTTCTGCTCCTGGGAACCCAGTGTGATTTTTGGAAGAGTACTTTCTTACGGATTTGGATGTAGCAATCAGGAAGGTACGATGTTGCCCCAATAGATTTAAATTCAGGAGTCTACAATAAAATCACAGTGTGCTCCCATCCCTAATCTGCCAAACATAACAAGCTTTTTTATATAGTGTTTCTCCTGAAGGAAAGCTGTATATTTGTAAGGTTGCTTCTGAAACTTGTCAATATGTAGAGTGTGAATCTGTGCGTGCTCCCTCTTTCTCTCTCTCTCGGTGAAGAACATTTCTGTCAAAACTTGATTTGTTTGCTCATGCCTGATCCACATACACTTTGTCTTATGTAGGCATATATTCAGTTCTATTTAAATCCCTCCCTCCACCCCAGTTTTGTTAAATAGAGAGAGTTTGTATTCTTGAAAATACGTGTATTTTATTTGACATCAGGAAGGGGGGTTAGGGAAAGTGGAAGGATGTGAGGGAGGAATGAGGCACAAGCCTCCAGTGGAGCAGACCAGGGAGGCTTTTAGTGCTTCTCAGGGTGGAAGCTCTCCCGCAGGGTCTCCTGGATGCTGACAGCTCCCCGATGGACCTCCCAGATGGCAGCCTGCAGAAAGTGCAGCCGGACTCACAGCAATGCATCCATGAGAAGCACTAGAGTGCCCAGGGGCAGCTCTGGCTCCATGTTGCAGAGTGCTGTGGTGTCCCGAGTGAGGGCAACCAGAGCAGGTAGAGACAAAATGCTTTGCTATCCCTCATCAAGGTAGGCAAGCAAGCAGGGAAAGCTGAGAACCTGCTGTCCAGGGAGGGTCCCTTTAAGCACTGGCCTTAGCTAGCCTCAAGCAGCAGCCACACAAAGTAACTCCTGACCTGATGCCCTGACGGATCTGGTTCCGGCCGGCCTTAAATGCGATTCAGCGTCCACTCAGTGTGGACGTGCTATTTCGAAATAGCAAAATGCTATTTTGAAATGCATTTTGTGTGTAAACGCGTTATTTCTAAATAACTTATTTCAAATTAACTATTTCGAAATAAGATATTTCGAAATAACGGTGTAGTGTAGACATACCCTAACTGATTTATTGGGCATCAGCTTTCATAGGGAAAATCCCACTTCTTCAGATGCACGGACATTATACTTGTCACCATTTTCTAAACTAGGCAATGAGTGGTGAGAGGTGAGACTTATTGCAAAGGACGGTAAGACCTTATAAATGTTTATGGTATTTTAGTGATTAGAACTGGTCTCAGCTTTTGGAATGAAAAAAATTCTATTAAAATGTGGCCCAGAAACTCTTTGCTACTGACCTTTTTGGAAATGGTCGGTAGTTAGTATAAATTGTGGGTTTGAGTCCCCAGTCTTCAGTTGACTGTGATGTAACACTGAGAATATAGCTGCATGTTTTTGTTGACTAATAACCAGAAATAAAGGAATGAATAGTCCTGCAGCACTTTAGAGACTAACAGAAAATGTCAATGGTATCATGAGCTTTCATAGGCACAACCCACTTCTTCACTTCAGTTCCATTCTCTATCCATTGTACTATAGTTTAAATAACATTATCAAAATAATTGAAGCTAGCATAATTATATTATGTTATTTAAACAAAATAAAATATGCAGAATTTTAAAATATTGTGTGCAGAATTTTTAATTTTTTTATGCAGAATTCCCCTAGGATTAAACATTTTTTTTTAGCATTTTTCAAAGACTTGCTTTATACAGCTGACTCTCAATGAAAATGCTATTCCACTGGCTTAACATCAATGCAAAAAAGGTTAATGACCAAAGACTTTGGAGATCTGAACAGGTCTTTTCTGGGTGAACCTGTCGCAATAATTCAGTTTAACCATTAACAAGGGCCTGGTAATTGAGGTGTAATTTTTGTTTTTAAAATAGCAACAGCGTGTGATCATTGCCTTCTGGGTCAGGGCAGGTCGAGCCTTTATCCATGTAACCTGTAATTGATTGTTGTAGTTTACTAGTGTGAGCCCTGATTGCTCAGCAGCCAGTTTCAAGGTCTGCTGTTGGTTTTTCCAAGTGCCTGCAGCCAAGTAAACTGCAGCCCTTTCCAAGCGCAACCACTTTATGGGCCATTTAACTTTCTTTGACTGATTAAGATATTACTGCTGGAGAAAGAGCTGCCTTAAGGACTAGAATGGAAGGTTTCATGATTAAACCAGTTTGGGTGCAGATAGGTGTTTTTCTCTTCCTGAATCAGAATCCAGGTTCTTCTGAGGCAGGGCTCAGTCTAAAATATGTTCTACCTTTCTACATCACTATGTTTGAATCTACCAAAGGAATAAAATGATGGGAAAGAATATTTACTTTAAAAAATGTGCCCATAAAAATGCTCTTACAATTTAAAACATGAAATTAACCTCTCTTGAGCAGAATAAACATCACTCCTCTTATCAGCTTTAGAAAACTTCATTAGTGTGGCAGGTGATGTAAAGAGCTTGAAAAGAGGGCGAGAGAAAATAAAATGTGTCAAAGTATCATTTTTTAATTCAATCTATAACCAAACAGTCTGATATTCCATCTTGCTCCTGCATCCTTCCTCAGTGATAGCAGCTACAGATGGAGAAAGTATGCCAAACTTGCTTTTTCATCTAGTTGGACTTCTTATTCCAGTGAGAACAATACAACACTTCAGAAGGTTCATATAGAAACCAATTAATAATCTTTATTTGCTTATCAAACGAAGGGACTTTGTCCAGAACATCGGAGAGTCTGATTCAGAAAAAAAAAACATTTTTAAAATACTGTTTCATACCACATTAATTTTTCCTGATCAATCTGATTATTCAAAGGGGAGGGAACACTACCAATCATTCAAACATAAACTTAATTCACATCAGACTAAAGACAAGTAAAATTTTCCTAGCAGTAGTGCACAAAATGCATGAAAGAATGAGGGAAAAGGTGTCTACTTAGCCAATATAAATGCTTTTTTTTTTTGCTTTAATCTCATTTACAAACTAATTTTTTGTTATTGTTGTTCTCCCTTAAAATACCTGAAAATTTGAACTTTGTTACTGATGCTGGTTGTTGCAGATTTTCCAGCATTGGGCATTCCCAGTATCACACTCTGTGGATCATTTTCCACATGGCTTTAACAGCTGAAGAACCAAGCTCAGGATTCTAAGCCTTATTCACAATACTCCAGAAGATGGCACAATGGGAATACCCAGAATTGATAGCTCAGACAGTGTTAATCAAATAGTGTTCTAACAAGATATGCAAGCATATCTCCATGCTGACTTTCTGGCTAATGGACCAGCAGTCTGAAGTTTCCTCTCAGCTTAAGTTTGTTCTATTAAAGTAAATACTCTTGAGTTGAAACATCCGCACTGACATCAAGGTGTCTTATACAGTCTTGTCTGATGGGATACTTTTAGTCTTTTTTTTAGTTAACCAATGAAAGAAACATAAATATGTCTCATCAGTGTGAGAGAACATAATAGTGTCTTGTATGTGGCACAATTTATATCAAGTACTTTTACCACAGATATTTACCGTATAAAATAAACTAAAATAATTGTCATAACTAGCACAGAAACAATGAAAAAGAGGAAGTGTTTCCTCTTGAACAAAATATGTTAAAAAGCCCCCTTTTTTTAAACGTGTAACCACTGAATTTTTTTCTGTGGCTACACATTTACATGCAGGGATGGGGGAAGATCTGGGGGAGCTGATGTGTGGGAGCCACCTCCCCCTCCTCACGCTGCTGCCAGAGGCACAGGGGTGGGGGCAGGTGGCCC